GCCAGGCAAGGCCCCCGAGACATCTCAAGCGGTTCCAAGAGGCCTCGAAAAGGCCCTTAGACGCCCCAAGAGGCCTTGCAGGAATTGTCCAGAAGACCACGGCAACTGCAAAGCGTTCCTTCGCATGCTTTTCGACGCGAGACAGCTCCAAGACGGCTTCGGGGGAGTCTCTTGGCCTCCTTGCGGGCCACCTTGGGCTCTGGGGGCCCCCATCGAGCCTCCTGGGTTTTTTTCGGGGCCTCTTTGAGCTGTCTCGGTCCGTCTTCGGGCCGTCTTAGGGCCCTCTGGGCGGTCTTTGACTGCCTAAGGGAGCCCAAGGGCGGCCCCAGAGGGCTCCCAGAATATTGAGCTTCGGAGAGCTTCCAGACGGCCCGATACGCCCTCCAGAGAGCGTCACGACGGTCCAACAGACCCCCAGAGAATCCCGAGACGGCCAAGGACGGCCCCAAGAGGGCCTAACGAGGCCACCAGTAGTTTCGGCCATATGGCCCCCCAGCACGGCCTCCATATCCGGCAGCACACAAGCCAGCAGCGGCAGCAACTAGTAGCTAGCAGCAGGAAACAAGCAGCCGCTGCATTGCCCGCGGCTGGCTGGCGGCCATCCCCGCTGCCGTGGCGTGCGGCAGAGTGTCAGTTGCGACCGCCAGGCCTGCCAGCATGCTGGCAGTGACGTCGGGAAGACAACTGTCTGGCTACCAGCTATGCGCGCAACAGAGCAGGCAGGCAGGCAAGCGATCTCAGCTTCTGCACGCGGGCAAACTGTCGTGGACAGAAGTCCACGGGTCAGCTGTAGTTAGCTACAACGCTGCGATCAGCGCGTGCCAGAAAGGCAAGCAGTGGCAGAGGGCTCTGTCTCTGCTAAGAGACATCCGCCAGATGAAGCTGTACCCAGACTTGTTAGTCTATGGGATTGTAGCCAGCATGTGCGAGCATTGCGGACAAAGGAGGCTGGTGCAGTCGCTGACGAGGGAGATGTGCGGTCTGATCGCAGCGGAATAGCGGAATCCGTATCATAATGCCAGGCCCGTGTGCATGTAAAGAATGTCGTGAGCGAAGGCAGCGAACTTCGCGTTCCCGTGGGGCAGCACCTCCGCGATGGTCTAGGCTGATCCACTCGCGGGCTCCCCCTGACAGCCCCAGTAGGTCCCTCACAGGCTACAGAGCTCAGCACGGTCCCCAAGGGTCGCCAGCATGTTGAAGGCCTTTCAGATTTTTCCAGGGGGGCCCAAACGATCCCCTCACCTCTCCGCAAGGCAAGAACACATCAGGTGTTCTTCCGAAGCAGTGCTTGCAGGAAGGGTTAACAGGAATGTTCACCAATAGCTGCGAGTTCTTGTTCTTGCCATGGTGCTTTATGGTGGTGCTCTCTCTAGCAGGAACCTCCAGGTTTGGTTCGAGCCTGACTAACGAGCACAACCAGCTCGGCACGGCTCTGGAGACATATTGTCTATGGCTGGCGCCCCGTGATGCTCTATCAACTATATTGCTGGAGTCAGCGCGTGCGAGAAGGGCGAGCAGTGGCAGCGGGCTCTGGCGCTGATCAGCGAGATCTGATCGGCGCTGATCAGCGAGATGATGACGTTGATTAGCGTGTTCAGTGTGATCAGCTGATCAACGTCGTCATCTCTACAATGCCAGGGGCGCCGCGTGCCCGAAACATTCCAGGATCAGGTGATTTAAAGTCGGGCCGGCAGGCCCCAGCGTGTTCTTGGGCGCCCCACGGGCGTTCCAAGACGGCCCAAGAGGGCCCCAAGACGTTCCAAAGGCCGCGGTGGACCGCCCAAGAGGGCTCCAAGACGGCTCCAGATAGTTCCGAGGAAGCGCAAGAAAGCCACACGGCGGCCCAAGAGGGCCTCCCGATGGTCCGCTTCCGAAGTCGGCTCAAAGGGGGTCCTTGACAGGGCCTCCAGGAGCAAACATCTTTCAATTCGCTTTGTTCAACGTTCTTCTCGCATGCTCGCTTCTTCAGGCCTCGGGGCGCTCAGGGCGGCCACAACAGCCCCAGACGGTTGGGCCCCCGAGGGGCCCCAGGACGGCCCCAAGACGGCCCAACCGAGTTCCAGGACGGCCTAACAGAGCTTCCAGAGGGCCCAAGATCGGCGAGCGAAGAACGGTATAAAATAAACTTTATCGCTGTCGGGGGCGCCTGTCCCTGGGCGGCTGGAAAGTTTATACCCCTACGGTGCCATCGTAAGGGTATAAACTTTCCAGCCGCGCTGGGACAGGCGCCCCCGACAGCGAAACACATTACTTTATACCGTTCTTCGCCCGTTAACACGAGGCCGCCAAGATGGCCTCCAGACACGACGGGCCCCAGGCGGCCCGGGACTGCACCAAGCCGGCCCAGCTCCCAGCTCTTGACGAGGCCCCAGCAGACCCCCAAGAGGTCCCCCCCCCTCCCGCCTCCTCCCTCCTCGGCCCTCCCCCCTCGGCTCTCCCTCCTCCCTCCTCCTCCCTCCTCCCTCCCTCCCTCCCTCCCTCCTCCCTCCTCGCCCCTCTGCCCTGGGTCCTCCCTCCTCCCTCCGCGCTCGTCGCTCTTCGCTGGTCGCTCCTCGCTTCTCCCCCCCTTGCCCTTCGTTCCTCGAGCTCCTCGGGCCTGGCTCCTCGATCCTCTCCTGGCAGCGGGTCGTGCCAGCGAGCTGGCGCAGCGTTCCGTCGGGCCTGTCCCTCAACAGGGGGAATATACTCAAACATAGCAAAAAATAGTATGGGGACTATTGTTGGAGTATTTTTTGGCCATGTCGGAGTTTTTGTGGAGTTTTTGATGTTTTTCGTCGAAAGTCCCCCTGTAGGGGGACACGCCCGACTTTAAGCGTAGCGAGAAAGGGAACCCTGCGGCATGAAGCAGCAACAGCGAGCGGCAGCAGTGCGCAGCACGAAGCAGGCGGCAGCGGCAACACACAGCAGCAAGCAACCGCATGCAGCAGCAGGCAGCAGCACGCACCAAGCAGAGCTGGCCATCAGCAGCACCCTGCAGACACCAGCAGCAACAGCACGCAGCGGCGGGGCAACAGCGGCAGCAAGCAGCAGCACGCTGTAGCATGCGCGGAATGTGAGGATCGAACCCCGCGTAATCATTCCAGCCTCTCGGCAGCATGTCCACAATCACATGTCTGTTCGTGGAGATTTCGTGGACGTAGTCCACGGGTCAGACCTAGTCTCTCCTACATGGCGGGTGGAAGCGCGTGCGAGAAGGTCAGGCACTCAAGTGCACAAAATCGTCCCTTTACGGCCCCAGGCTGGCCCCGGGCCGCCCCGGGCCGCCTCGGGAGGCCCCAAGACACGCCAAAAGGGCCCAGAGAGGCCACCAAGACGGCCCCGGAGGGCCCCGGCACGCCCAAAGATGGGCTTAGACGCTCGAGATTGGCCCAAGACGGCTCCAGAGACCTCCAAGACGGCCCAAGAAGCCTCCCAAGAGGCCTCCTACGAGGGTCCCGTCCCGAGTGGCAGAAATCGTGGATTTCCATTGTGTTTTTCTATGTTTTCGGCCTTCTCGCCTTTTCGGCTTCCCGAGGCTCCAAGACGGCCCCAGAGGTCCCCAAGACCGCTCCAAGACAGCCGAAGAGGCCCCCAGGAGAGCGTCAAGACGGGCCAAGAGGGCCCCAAGACGGGCCCCAGCAGGCCCCGGCGCGCTCCGAGACGCTCCAAGACGAGCCAAGGAAGGCCCCAAGAGACCTTCAAGATGGCCTCAGAGGGCCCCGGCACGCCCAAAAATGAGCCCAAGACGCTCAAGATTGGCCCAAGACGGCTCCAGAGGTCTCCAAGACGCCCCAAGAGGCTTCCCAAGAGGCCTCCCAACAGGGCCCCGAGTGGCAAAAAACTATGATTTCCATTGTGTTTTTCTATGTTTTCGGCCTTCTCGCCTTTTCGGCTTCCCGACGCTCCAAGACGGTCCCAGAGGTCCCCCAGACCGCTCTAAGACGGCCGAAGAGGGCCCCAAGAGAGCCCCAAGACGGGCCAAGAGGGCCCCAAGACGGGCCCCAGCAGGCCCCGGCGCGCTCCGAGACGCTCCAAGACGCGCCAAGGAAGGCCCCAAGAGACCTTGAAGATGGCCCCAGAGGGCCCCGGCACGCCCAAAAATGAGCCCAAGACGCTCAAGATTGGCCCAAGACGGCTCCGGAGGTCTCCAAGATGCCCCAAGAGAGGGTCCCGAGTGGCAAAAATCGATGATTTCCATTCTGTTTTTCGATGTTTTCGGCCTCCTCGCCTTTTCGGCTTCCCGACGCTCCAAGACGGTCCCAGAGGTCCCCCAGACAGCTCCAAGACGGCCGAAGAGGGCCCCAAGAGAGCCCGAAGACGGGCCAAGAGGGCCCCAAGACGGCCCCACGACTCCCCAAGACGGCCCCAGCACGGCCCAGGAGGCGCCCAAGACGGCTCAAGAGGCACCCAAGACGGCCCCAAGAGCGGCCCGAGACGGCCCAGGACAGCCCAAGAGGCGCCCAAGCCGGCCTCAGCTGGCCCCAAGACGGCCCAAGAGGCACCCAAGACGGCCCAAGAGGGCCCTAAGAGCCTCCCCGGGAGGCCCAGAAGACCCCAAGTGGCTCCGAAACGGCCCCCACGAGGCCCTAAGTGGTTTCAGAATTGCCTCCAGGAGGGTGGGAGCGGACGAGAGGCGACAGGCATTTCGCAGACACTAAAGAGCCGTGCAGCATCAGCAGCACGCGTTGACAACGCAAGCGTCATTCAGCATCATGCAACATGCAGCAACATCCAGCACCAGGCAAAAAGCTAGCAGCAGCACCAAGCCGTAGCAAGCAGCAGCCCACACCAGTCAAACCGCAGGCGGCAGCAGAGGAACGACAAAGCAAACAGCAGCGAGTAGCAGCAGGCAGCACTCAGCACAACAAGCGGCGGCCATGAAGCCTCCGAGAGCGTTTCGAGAGGGTCCTCATGACAAGCGTCGTTGGCCAGGCGAACAAGGAGCCCAACGTCATCAGGTGCGCCTTCCAGCAGTACTCCCTCCACCCCGCAAGTGGACGGAGTCCACGGGTCAGCCCTAGTCAGCTACAGCGCCGGGATCAGCGCGTGCGAGAAGAGCGAGCAGTGGCAGCGGGCTCTGGCGCTGCTCAGCGAGATGTCGGAGGCGAAGCTGTGGCCCAACGTCGTCTGTACTACAATTCTGGTCGTTGCGCGTGGGGAGGGGGCGAAACGTGGGCGAGCTGCCCGGAGCGCCCGAAGCGCCCTGGCGCTCGCCGACGGCCCCAGAGGGCCCCTAGGTGGCCCCCCAAGACGGCCTCTGACAGCCCCACGACAGCTCCGACACGCTCTGGAGTGCGCGAGGACGGCCCGAGAGAACCCGAACGGGATTCCATGGCAGCCCAAGACGGCCCCCCACGACGGGCCATGTGCGTCCTAAAACGGTTGCATCGGACCCCGATGACGGGCCCCCGAGCCCAAGATCATGGGTTTTCCATGTTCTCGCCATTCGGGGCCAAGAACGACCCCAGACGGCTCCAGGGCTATCCCAGGTCGCCCCAAGACGGTCCAGGAGGCCCCGCCAAGTGCCCCAAGACGGCTCCAGAGGGCCCAAAGACTGCCCAGGAGAAGCCCAAGACAGCCTCATAGAGCCCGTGGTGGCCCCCAAGACAGCCCCAAGAGGGCCCTAGGAGCTGCCCAACAGGCACCAAAGCGAGCTCCAAGACCGCCCGAGACCCCCTACATGATCCCAGGACGGCCCAAGATGCCCACGAGACGGCCCAAGAAAGCACCGAGATGGGCCAAGGGGGCCCCTGGAGGCTCCGGAGAGATCCCCACGAGGGCTCGAAGAGGGGCCGAAGGGAACCCAGACGCCCTTCCCGCAGCCCCCTATGGGCCAAGAGCCCTTCAATGACCACTCCCGCATGCCCCAGAGCCTCCCAAGAGACTCCGATGGTTCCCAGGGAGCTTCCAAGGAGAGTGCCTCAAGCCACGGCACCCTTTCGCTGTCTCTCGAACCCCAAATGCTCCCAAGACCCCCAAGCGCCTCGAACCCCAGACCCCCAAGGCAGGCCCCAGACCACTCCGAGATGTCCCAGAGCCTTCAAGAGACTCCGATAGTCCCCACAGAGCTTCCAAGATCGGTCCCAGGGGGATTCCGAGATGCCCCAGAGTCGCCCACAAGACTCCGACGCTTGCCAAGAGACTCCAGCAGTTCCCACGGAGCTCCCAACAGCGGTCCCAGCAAGAGACTCCCATAGTTCCCACGGAGCACCCAAGTGCGATCACATGATCACTCCGAGATGGCCCAGAGTAGCCCACAAGACCTCCCCCCTGCGGCCGATTAGGGGTGACAGGGAAACCTTCTCCTCTGATCTCTTCCTTCCCTCATCGAGGCTCTGGCCGCTCTGGGGCCTCCACTCCGCTTGTTAGGGGTGACATGGGGCACTTGCAGCCACTTCGGTCGCTCCCCCTCTACGGCCGATTAGGGGTGACAGGGGGGGGCACCTGTAGACACTGCGGGGACCAGCATCTCGCTCCCCCCTACGGCCGAGTAGAGCTCTCGGTGGCCCCCAAGAGAGATCCCTCCCTAGGCCACTCCGAGATGGCGCAGATCCCCCCAGGACATTCGAAGACAGCCTCCAGCCCCAGCTCCCAGAGTCTGCAGCAAACCCTGCAGCTCACTTGACCTTAGGGGTGACAGGGGGGACCTTCTGACAGCAACCTCACAGCACGCACGCGCAAAACAAGTTCCCAGGCTGTCCCCCAGAAAAGGCTCTGGGGGACAGCCTTGGAACAGCTCCAGAGGCACCAAAAACCGCAAGATTCCTCCAAGACGTCCCAGACAGGCTCGCAGGAGGGCCCAACATGCCCCCGACATGGGTCCAGGGACGCCCGAGGTGTTCAATTTCGACGAGCTGTTCACCCACGGTGTGCGAGTCCCAGATTCAGGACGCCGTGGATTTCATCCACGGGTTCACACTAGTCAGCTACAACGCCGGGATCAGCGCGTGTGAGAAAGGCAAGCAGTGGCAGCGAGCTCTGGCGCTGCTCAGCGAGATGTCGGAGGCGATGCTGTGGCCCAACGTCGTCTGTACTACAATTCTGGTCGTCGCGCGTGGGGAGGGGGCGAAACGTTGGCGAGCTGTCCCGGAGCGCCCGAAGCGCCCTGGCGCTCGCCGACGGCTCCAGAGAGCCCCCAGGTGCCCCTCCAAGACGGCCTCTGACAGCCCCACGACAGCTCTGAGACGCTCTGGAGTGCGCGAGGACGGCCCGAGAGAACCCGAACGGGATTCCCATGACAGCCCACGACGGCCCCCCACGACGGGCCATGTGCCTCCGAAAACGGCCGAATCGGACCCCGATGACGGTCCCCCGAGGCCTGAATCATATATTTTCCATGTTCTCGCCATTTCGGGCCAAGAACGGCTCCAGACGGCTCCAGGGCCATACTATATGGGCCCAAGACGGTCCAGGAGGTCCCGCCAAGTGCCCCAAGACGGCCCCAGAGGGCCCGAAGATCACCAAAGAGGCCCGGGTGGCCCCCACAACAGCCCCAAGAGGGCTCCAGAAGCTGCCCAACAGGTCCCAAGACGGCCCGACACCGCCAATATCGCCCCCAGACACCTCGAGAACCTCCGAGATCGCTCAGGAGATCCCCTAAATGGCCCAAGACGGCCTCAAGAGCTGCCGAAGAGGGCTCAAAGCGGGCTCCCAAACGGCCCGAACCGTCCAACATAGTCTCCAGACGCCCCAAGACTCCCGACATCCACAGCCTCCCCAGATGGCCCCCGGACGTCCCTACAAGCCCCCACGACGGTCCAAGAGTGCTCCAGAATGGCACAAGAAACGCCCCATAGGCTCCGGAAAGACCCCCAGGAGGCCTCCGAGAGGGTCCGAAGATGGTCCAGACGACGGGCCTCCCGCAGCTCCCAACTCGCTAAGAACCTTCCCGGGATTACTCCTTCCCAGGACCACTCCGATGCCCCAGAGTCTCCCAAGAGGCTCCAGCGTTTGCCAAGCAGCTTCCAGCAGAGCGCCGTCGGCCACGCCACCCCTTCGCCGTCTCTAGCAGCCCAGAAGCCCCACAGAGAGCGGCGAACCCCGAGCGACGCCCCGGACCACTCCGAGGCGCGCCAGACCCTCCCAAGATAATCCGATAATCCCGATAGAGTTAAGTCGGGCCTGTCCCCCTACAGGGGGATTTTCGACGAAAAATGAAAAATACTCCAAAATTAATCCAAAAAGGTAAAAAGATACTAAGAAAATAGTCCCCAGACTATTGTTGGATTTTTTTCGTGTTTTGCGTTTTTTTTTTTTTTTCGTCGAAAATCCCCCTGTAGGGGGACACGCCCGACTTAACGATGGAGCTCCCAAGAGGGCCTCCCGCCCTTGTGCCTCCCCGGCAGCCTTGAACAAAGCCTCTTGCCCATAGCAAGGTCCAACGAGCCTCCTCTCCCCGTTCAGTTCTCTTCTCTCACTCCATTCCTATTCCTTATGAGTGACTCCTCCCTGTCGCACCCCGAGGCCGTTCGGAAGGACGGGCCGGGCATTTCGCCTGAGACCTCCTCACCATTTACGAGCCTGCAGCTTAGCAGCTGTCAGTATTTTCACAGATAGAGGGCGGTTGGTTTCGCGTGAGCGCCGCGCAGATTCTTTTTAAACATTTGCAAGAGCTTCACTGATTGAGGACGGGGCGTTTTCAAAATGTGGCTCGCGCTTCAGCGCCGTGCACATTCGTCTTTACAGTTTGCAAGAGTTTCAGGGATTGAGGGTAGCTCGTTTTCAAACTGTGGCTCTTGCTTGAGCGCCGCGCACATTACTTCTAAGGATTTGTTGGAGTTTCACGGGTTGAGGACAGGTCAATGTGGCTCTCGCCTTAGCGCCACGCACATGCGCTTTGAACATGTACAGGAGTTTCACGAATTGAGGGCGTGCCGTTTTAAGCATGTGGCTCTCGCCTTAGCGCCGCGCACATTCGGTTTCAACAGTTGCAAGAGTTTCGCGGATGGAGGGCAGGCCTTTTCCAAAATGCGGTTCTCGCCTCACCGTCGTGCAGATTCGTTGTCAATCTGTGCAAGAGTTCTGCGGATTCTCATGGGTAACCTTCCCGAAGTGGTGTTTTCTATCGGGTCGGGAATGTCAGGGCGCAACATTTACGTATGCTTATTCGTGGTGTTGCAGTCTCAGGAACGGTGTTCGGGCACGACTCAGGACCGTCAAGACGCAACAGTCAGGTTGACTCGTGACGTTCGGGGGCGGAAAAGAGGGGGGTGATGACTAGTGGGGGGGTGGATGTCATGGCGGGGGCCATGATGTTGCCACAGATTGTATGGCGCCTCTTCTTATTATTACGTCCCTGGCCCCACCGCTGGGCCGCGCACATGCCGCCGATCATCATCTGCACCCCCCTCTCTTTGACACCCCCCTCTTGGCCGCTCCCGAGACGTTGGCGTCCTGAGAATGGTGTTCTGGCAAGCGTCAGGATTTTTGCACGGTTGTCTCCCAACTGGGCATCTCCCTCAGTGGAAGCGGAATTTGGTATCGGGCTTATGACGAGGGATCTTGGCGGGAGGTTGTATCCCAACATCGTTGATGAGAGTTGGGTTTGCACTGGTCCTTCTTCTTCCTCCTTGTCCTGATCCTTCTCCTTGGCTCCCCTTCTTCCAAACTTCAGCCACTGGAATCCCCACACAGCCGATTCGGTGTGGCAAAGGAGACATGTAGACGGCTCGGAGCCCCTTCAGCAGCACCCTTAACCTTTGCTGTCTCCGAAGGCCTCCAACAGAATCCAGAGACCGCCCTATTCTCTTCCTCGGCCTCCTGCTCGCTCTCATGCGCCTCACTTCCTCCTCCGCCCCCCCCCCCAGCACGTCTCGCCCCCCCCCCTCCCCCCCCTTTGTGGGTGACGTGTAAGACTATCTGGCGTGCGTTGTTTCTCGCGCGGAAGCATTTTTTCGCGCGGCTTCTCACGGCGCGAGCTTGCTCGCGTGTATGGTTACAGCGCGGGAGCATTCGAGTCTACCAGATGTAGCAGTAGCGGCCGTATTTGTATTCATTTAGTTACAACCACGATACATCGGTCATGCTCGTACGGGTGTTCATTGTCCTGCACTGCATTGTCTTACGCATACAGCGTCTCATGCTTACTTCTACTGTGTGCCCCGCTGATACTACTTCTTTTCCAGATTTCTGAGTCCGCGCCGCCTTTTTTACTGTTCGCACGTATCGGTTTCGCGCCGATGCCCCGCCGCAAACGTGCCCCCCCCCCCACACACACATCTCGCTGCCTGTATCGAGCTAGCGAGTTACTGCCCGAACAATGGGGCAAACCAGTGCCCACTGACAGATTCCTCGACCCACGCAAGCCTACTCTGCTTCTCGGCCCACCAGCCGGAGCGCATTTTGCGCGCAGGCGGGAGGTGGCGGCGCCGACGCGAGCCCACGGCTTCGCTGCTCGCCTGCCAGCCTGGCACTGGGAACTCAGGAGGAGAAAAGACACACAGACATAATTCATCGTCGATTCCTCAGAAAATAAGGGAAAATATGGGCAGTGGGGGGGAAGACAGAAACCCAGAAAATAAGGGAAACTATGGGGAACATTATTACTTGTGTGTATTTATTTGTATGTCCTGGGGCCCCTGCAGGAACGGATCTCGGCAATGGTGGCCTGACTCCGTTCTGCGACGCCCCCCGAAGACACTTCGCCCGAGGTGCATGCCCACGGCTTCGCTGCCCTCCTGCCCGCCAGGCGCCAGGAGCGGATTTGGGGAAGGCATGCCCGAGTCCGTTCCGCGCACGGGAGAGTTGGACGGCATCACTGCTCTCCTGCCCACCCAGCACCGGGAGCGGACGCGGGCCCTTCGTGCCCGACTCCGTTCATGCGCCGCACCCCCGACGAGATGGAGCCCGACGTGCGCGCCCCCGGCAGCGCGGCTCTCCTGCCCGGATCTCGGCAGATCTGGCCGCAATCCGTTCCTGGCGCCGCCCCGCCCACCCGACGTCATTTTTTTCAATCAAGTTGCGTCCGCGCCTCAACGACTGTCAGCCCAGTTGGCACTGCTGGCCCAGATCAGACCCCTGTCGGAGGCGGGACTAAGACTACAGTGGCGTGAAACGTCAGCACGCGCGCCTTGTGACGGCGCAGTGCCCCCGCGCGCACCGATCTGTGACGCATTGCAGGGATGCATCAGTAGTTGCTCTGCGAGCCGCGCATGCCGCTGTCCTCGGCGTCGCCCACCTTCCTCCGCCTCCAGGTCATCCCCATCAGCACCATCATCCTTCCTTACCCACACCATCATCATCATCATCATCATCATCATCATCATCATCATCATCATCATCATCATCATCATCATCATCATCATCATCATCATCGTCATCATCATCATCAACAGCAGCATCATCAGCATCACCATCACAATCACCATCACCATCACCATCACCATGATCATCATCATCATGCTCATGATCATGATCATGATCATGGTCATCACAATCACCATCATCGTCATAATCACCAACAACACGAAAGTAGTCATCAGCATCCCTCCCCCCAACCTCCTACTCCTTCTCAGCATCCTCCACCTCATCCTCATCACCATCATCATACGTAATCATCCTGGTCCTTTTTCCCCTTCATCATCAGCATACGTCATCATTACCATCGCCATCAACAACATCATCATCATCATCAGCCCCGCTTCTCCTCCCGATCCTCATCGTCGTCGTCATCAACATTTTTATTATATTTTCTTCTCAGTTATCATCATCATCATCATCATCATCACCATCATTTTCCTCCGCACTATCACCACTATCGATCATCTTCTTCATCTTCCTCATCGCCAGCATCATCATTTATCATCTTTCTTGTCCTCGCCATCATCGCCATCGCCATCATCCTTCATCATCCACGTCCTCATCATCATCCACGTCCTCATCATCCCTATTATACTCCTGCTCATCACAAGGACGGGCAGCAGCATGATATTCATCATCATCATCATCATCATCTGCATATCATCAGCATCAGCACTTCGCCTCCTCCTCAGCCTCCGCATCGTCATCGTCATCACCATCATCATCATGCCGTCTGCTCCTCCTCCTCCTCGTCCTCCTCCTCCTCCTCCTCCTCCTCCTCCTCCTCCTCCCCTCATCGTCATCATCATCGCAATCATCATGGCCGCTATTCATCCTCGTCCCCTGCCCCATCGTCACCATCATCATCGCGATCAACATCACCATCATCATCACTACCACCGCCATCATCATCCTCATCATCATCATCCTCATCATCATCATCCTCATCCTCATCCTCATCATTATCATCATCAGCATCCGTCCTCGTCCCTACCCTCACCACCACCACCACCATCACCATCATCATCATCATCATCATCATCATCATCATCATCATCATCATCATTATCATACTTATCATCATCATCATCATCATTCTCATCATCAGTATGATCATCTTCCGTCCTCATCCGCATCCTCACCGTCATCATCACCATCATCATCACCATCATCATCATCATCATAATCATTATCATCATCATCATCAGCATCATCATCATCATCATCATCATCATCATCATCATCATAGTCATCACTCTCATCATCAGCATCATCATCGTCATCATCATCATCAGCATCATCATAGACATCACCATGCTCATCATCACCATTATCATCATCATCATCACTCTCCTCCTCCTCATCATCACCATCATCATCATAATCGTCATCACAGTCGTCATCATCACCATCATCAGCATCCCTCCTGCTCCCCCTCCCCCCTCCCCCTCTTCGTTTGCCAGGTCAGGACGGGTGGGGGGGATGTGGAGGGAGGAGTAGTGGGGAGGAGGCGGGCATGCAATGAAAAAAAATGCCCCCTCCCCCCCCACACTGAAAACCAATCAGACAATCGTGCAATCAAAACACTAATACAGAAATCCACACAATCCAAATCAAAGGGACGCCATGCGGTCAAACACAATACGACACCCCTGCAAGCAAATACAATAAGACAACCACGCAAGCACACACGCATATAAGAGCACATTGGGTGCACGAACCCTGTGAGGGTACAAAAATGGCGACGGTGCCCAACAAACACACACACACACCACTGGTGTTCGTGCCTTCGGACTTCCTCTGGGCCCCTCCAGTCCAGATCCGCACAATCAAAAACCAAATCGACATCCATCCACTCAAACACACCACGAAACCCGTATAACCAGCAATAGTAAGATATCCAGACAATCAAGAACAAACTGAAACCCACACAATCAAATACTAGAAGAACCCCTTACTATCAAACACAAGGAGAAAACGTATTGGATCCACGAACCCTGTGAGGGTGTAAGAGAACAAACACCATACAACACTTTTAAGGGCACCACGCAAAACACACGCATCACCAGTTTTGGGGCCTCAGACTTCTTCGTGGCCCGTCCAGTCCAGATCGGCACACTCAACATCAACAAGAACGCGTCCTGGGTCCACGAACCCAGTGAGGGTACCTAAAAACAACAACCAACAAAACGTGTGATAGTACCACCCCCCCCCACACACATACACCAATAGTTTGCGTTCCTTCGGACTTTCTCTGGGCACCTCCAGCCCAGATCCGCACATTCAAGCACAATAAGGCAACGTCTTGGGTCCACGAACCCTGTGAGGGTACAACTAAATCCAACACATCAAACAGAACACAGTACAAGCGTGTGAGGGCATTGAAACAGAAACGCTTCAATTCCATTGTCTTCGTCGCTTAAGGCTGCCTTGGCGGATCTGGGCGGGAGAGGCATTTTGTTTTTTTTGGTCGCACTCTCACAGGATTCGTGTACCCAAGACGTGTTCTTATTGTTTTTGATTGTGCGGATCTGGGCCGGAGGGGCCCAGAGAAGCCCGAAGGCACGAACGCCATTGATTGTGTTTTTTTTGGTACCCTCACATTTTTTTCGTACCCTCACAGGGTTCGTGGGCCCACGACGTTATCTGCTTGTGTTTGATTGTGAGGATCTGGGCTGGAGTGGCCCAGAGGAAATCCGAAAGTAGGAAACCCATTGATTTTTGTTTTTTGGGGTACCATTACAGGTTTTTCTTTGTACCCTCATAGGGTTCGTGGACTCAAGATGCTGTCTTATTGTTTTTGAGTGTACGGATGTCTTGTTGTTTTTGATTGTATGTTTTTCTTTTCGTTTTGACTGTTTGTACGTGTTTCTGATTGTTTTTGACTATGGATTTCTTCTTGCGCTTGCTTGTATGTCTTTATTTGTTTTGATTGTACGGATGTCTTATTGGTCTGATTGCCCAGAGGAGAAAGGAGATGAGGATTAATTTGAAGACGAGACGACACATGACGAGGAGAAGGAAAAGGACGATGTTGGTGGTGATGGTGATGGTGGTGATGCTGATGATGTTGATGATGATGAAGATGCTGATGCTGATGCTGATGATGCTGATGCTGCTGATGGTGATGCTGCTGCGGATGATGCTGCTGCTGATGCTGCTGCTGATGATGATGCTGATGATGAAGATGATGATGCTGCTGCTGATGATGATGATGATGATGATGATCATGATGATGATGATCATGATGATGATGCTGATGATGATGCTGATCATGATGATGATGCTGATGCTGATGATGATGATCATCATGATGATGATGATCATGATGATGATGATGATGATGATGATGATGATGATGATGATGATGATGATGATTATGATGATGATGATGATGATGATGATGATGATGATGCTGATGATGCTGCTGCTGCTGCTGCTGCTGCTGCTGATGATGATGATGATGATGATGATGATGATGATGATGATTATGACGATTATGATGAGAAACACCTCACGCCACATCGTTTGAAATGTCACCCTTACCCCCCGTGCGATTATGGGCGACAAGGGGGACCTTCTCTTGTCTTCTCTGCCCTGGCTCCCTCGTCAACGAGCCTGCACCTCCCTCCCTCTGGCCTGCTCTCTTCCTTCTACCCCACCCCTTCCGATTGGGGGTGACAAGCGGGACCTTCTCTCATATCTTCTCTGCTTCGGCTTCCTCCTCTGGGAGCCTGCACTCCCCCCATCTCCAGAACCGGTCTCCTCCTCCTTCTCCGCCTCTTCCTGCAAGAGGCTGCAGGGATACTGGACTGCGGGAAGCCCTCGATGCCACAAGAACCCTCCAGGGTCCACTCCGAGATAACCCAGACCCTCCCAAGACACTCGAAGACAGCCACCAGCCCTGGAGCCCAGAGCCCGCAGCAACCCCCTGAGCAAACCGCAGGCGTCGACGACACATGCCCGTGTGGGACCGACACCTTGACCTGCCACCCGTGGACTTTCCACGGGGTCACACTGGTCATAAGCTACAGCGCTGGAATCAGCGCGTGCGAGAAGGGCATGCAGTGGCAGCGGGCTCTGGCGCTGATCAGCGAGATGTGGGAGGCGGAGCTGGAGCCCCACATCATATCCCCATACATCCTGCCGCGCCAATTTTTCCGATGCGTGGGCCCCAGAGGTCTGGACGACTTCCCCAGGGCCGGTTTTTCGTCCCGAGTCCCTTTTTGACGGTCCCGAGGCCCGACGAGGGCACCCGGGGGCCGAAAACGGCCCAAAATTGTCCGGAGCGTCGGCTCTCTGGGCCTACCGCGTTGCAGACGCACGTGCGTCTGCAAGAGGGGCGCTGTCT